TTCAAATCCTTCCATGCTCAGAGCATTATGCCAAGTTAAAAACAAAACAAAACAAAACGAAAAACAGCTGGGGCTGGCATAGGGGATTAAATCACCACCTACAGCGCTGGTATCCCATGTGGGCACCAATTAGAGTCCTAACCTCAGGGTACTCGGCTTGAGGCTGCAGAGTACCTGTTGGAGTTGCAAGGCCCCTTCTGGCTGAGGCAAGAAATCAGAAAAGCCACCCAGTTACAGTCGCAAATGTTATGTTATATTGGGTGATTTTTTTCTTTAAAGCACCACTAAAATTTTAAGTAATCAATAAAATTTTCAAACATGCAGAAAAGTAGAGTGCATGGTATAAAGGGATTGGAACCACCAGAGTGGTTGATTATAGGGCCCTGGCCAGCACTTCAGTATCAGCACTCCCAGTGTCCCTACGGTGTATCTTCCTGGTTATAAATAAGTTCCAAAGTCAGCCCGGATTCCAGGGAAGCCGAGCAGCGTCTCCTGCGCTGGGTGGGAGAATGGGGCCATCCTTTAAATACACCAGGTCTGGGGCTCTAACTGGGGGGTGAAAACCAAGACCCCTTTCTATTTCCTCACCCTTCCCTCCTCACACATAAACTTCTTTCACTGACTTTGGAATGGCCAGTGTGATAAGGAGGAGTGGGCTGAGCCTTCACCCTCAGGGAGAAAGAGCAGAGGAGGGCCACGGTCAAGCTGATCGCTCCTCCTATGATGTGGAACTGACTGGAGGGGCAGCTGTCCTCAGAGGTAGGGAAGGATAAAGGTGTGAGGTCCCGGAATCCAGGGCTTGGGGAGAGGCCAGAGGTGAGACCACAGAGAGAAGAGCAGCCCCACCAGGTGAGGCCATTGGTCAAGGTGGCAGCCACTTTCCCTCGGCCAGTAGCCCACTACTCGGCTGGAGCTCAGCCTGGACCCGAGGTGCCACATTGTCCTTCGCTTACCCTCTGCTCTTGTCCCCAGCCCCAAAGGCATCTTGAATCCCGTGAGGCTCCTGTACGCGAGTGTGGCTGTCCTAGCTGAAGCCCTTGTTGCCCTCCCCTCTGGAATGTCTTCCTCCCTCTCCGGGGACCAAAGGAGCCAGTGTGGTTGGCTGGTGCCATCTAGCGGCAGCCGCTAGATCCTACACCGCTTTAAACCGCAGTGGCTACTAAGGCTTGGCTCCAGTTTCGGACATGCCGTCCTCCTCGCCAAGTGACCGAGCCAGCAGGCAGAGCTCAGGAACGACCCAGCTGCTCCATGCCTCTGTGCCAGAGCCCCATGAAGGCTAAGTAACAGCCCTCTGTCCCACAGGAGCAGGCTGGGTGGTGGCAGCAGCACCCTCTGCATGGCTGCTCCGTGGAAGGGCTGTCCCAGCAGCTCCAGCCGCTCTCCTCGCTGTTTTGTTTATTTGTTTGTTTTTTACTCCTGTGCCATCACTCTCTACTTCCCTCCTCCTTCTCTCCCTCTCTTCTTCTTTTTAAATTTATTTATTTATATTGGAAAGGCAGATGTGTAGAGGAGAGACAGAGAGGAAGATCTTGCATCCAATGTTTCACTCCCCAAGTGACCACAACAGCTGGTGAAGCGCCAATCCAAAGCCAGGAGCCAGGAACTTCCTCCAGGTCTCCCATGTGGGTGCAGGGTCCCAAGGCTTTGGTCTGTCCTCGACTGCTTTCCTAGGCCACAAGCAGGGAGCTGGATGGAAAGCAGGGCCGCTGGGACATGAACCAGCACCCATATGGGGTCCCGGCACGTGCAAGGTGAGTCCGCTAGGCTACTGCCCCAGGGTCCATTTTCCAGACCTGCTAAACTGGACCCATGGCTATTCAGGTGGGCAATTGGATCACTGCATCTGTGTGGGACACCTGGCTGAAATCCCTAGCTTTGACCACGCAGCCATGTGGGGAACCAAACAGCAGATGAAAGACCTCTCTCTTCCTTGCTCTGTAACTCTTTCAAATAATACTAAACTATTTTATTCTCTCATCAGTAACCAAAAAAAAAAAAACAGCGTTTGAGCTTCCTTTCAGCACTTTTCTCTCTCCTCCCATCTCCCTCACCCTGGCCCAAAAGCACACATATTTTTCATGCATGGTCACCCCCTCCTGAAAGCCCGGTGATGGAACAATGCTTTTGACTTTGTTTAATCCAGGCCCTACCATGGTGTCACAGGGCATTTTTCAGCCCCTAGATTGCAGCTCTATGAGGTTCAGAAGGGAATATAGAAGCTGGGTGGAGCTTGGAAGTCACCACTACTCTCATGCTGAATCCCCACTGGCGGCTGTCAGCAGCAGCTCCAGGCAGGCCCTATAAGAAGCGAGGTGGTGGGGTTTCTGCATCCCGGGACTGTGACTCACTCTCCAGATTGGGCAGACGCTCAGCAGGTGAGGCCCTTCACCCTTGGCAGTCTTGGCCCCTAGACCTGTGAGTACAGGAAGCCTTCATAACTGCCCCACCTGTGACATTCAGTTTCAGGCACAGAGCGCAGTCACACCGGGGACTGCCACACCCTCACCATCTCCCTCTCTACCTTTCCCTGTCAGCTCCTCCCCCTGCCAGTACACACTGAAGACTTGTTCATCCTTGGATCTGCACAGCAAGAAGTACCTACTAGGGGGTGGAAATTTGGTATAGCATTTAGGACCTCCTCCTGGGATAACCCTGCCCCCCATCCCAGGGTCTGAATCCCATCCCTGCTCCCAGTTTGAGTGCACACTGGGAAACAGCAGGTGATGGCCTTAACACTTGGGTCCCTGCCACCCATGTGGCAAACATGGTGAGAGCTCCAGGCTCCAGGCTTCAGCCTGGTCCAGCTCCAGATGTTGTAGACAAAATATCTGTTCCATGATGGCTTTAAAAAGAACCTGTTGAATTGTCCTAATAACTGAGTTACAACCCTTCTGGTGCAGAGACATGGGGGTGGGACAGAGACGGGGAGAGGAGCTGTGTAGCTCCATCTTGGACAGCTGCCTGGCTCTGCCCCTACAATGAACACAGGCTGGCTCGGCAAGTTGATTCTAAAAACATATTCCCAGCAGGTCATTACCCTGTATGTGGAGACCCTCACAACAAAAGCCTTCACTTCCTCTCCTAGTGTCCCAGGTGCCCACACACGATTATACAATGAGGGTTTCCTATGTGGTCAGCAGCTGCCCGATGCATGCACAACCTTCTCCCAAGCAGCCGGAGATTTTCCATGGTGGTAAAACAAAGGCTGGCCTCATCTAGTGAAAACCCCAACAATGACGGAAGAAACTGGGATTTCAATGGAAAGAAACCACATTTCACTTTGTCTTTTATTTATGCTCCACTTAAATATCTCCAATTGTTGAAAAAAAAATCAGTGACAGTCATGAGCATACAGCTTAAAATACAATAACAGCGATTTCTAAGGAACATGGTTAATAATTGTTCTAAGAAAATGCTTGTTAAGAAATAGTTTCCAAGAGGCAAGTTAGACAACAGGTGCTGGAGGAGGGGCCTCAGGACACGAGCAGCCATTGGTTCAAACCTGTTCTCCCATTAGGCCGCACAGGCTTGGCACCAGCACCACCAGCTGTGCCTCCACCCTTACCCCTGACTCACGGTGTCAGAGACAAAGGGACTTGTAACATGAAACTCGCATGGCTCTCCAGAATATTCTGGTTAAAGCTGGGAAGTTAAAGTCTTTTCCAAAGCTGTCAGACACATGTAGAGGGGTCCTCCAGGCGCTGATGAATGTGAGTCAAGGCAGACTCATCCTGGGCACATGTAGGATCGTCTTCATGGCTTAACTCACACGCAAGCACCTTAGTTTTCCCATAGGTTTCCCCGCCTTCATGCCAACTCATTAGTGTCCAAACTGAGTTTTCTCTGGTATGTCTAATCCTAGAGACGCAGGCCAGATATACTGCACTGACATACCTCCGAATTTATATTCCAATAAATTCGCTTTGAAGTCATAGGACACCTCCTCTTTCGAATACAGAACTTACACCATCTTTTCTATGCATTTTGTCCAATCCCCACTCAGAGCTATCCTATGCACATATAAAATCATGACCCCAATCTTATCCAAATTTCTTCCTTAACATAATAAGCAACCGTAAGCACGAAAGCATGCTTTCACATTCAGTCTCAGCTCTTAGTTCCTCTTATTGAAGTCTCTTTGGAAGATGTGACAAGTGACACCAACCTTCTCTTGAATCCCTAAAGCAGGAGCCCACATGCTAAATAAAAGGCCTCCCAATAGCAGAATCGTAGTGAAGGAGACACACGCTGGGGGTTAACGAGGAGGCCATGTTCCCTGGGGCATGGAAAGAGCTGAGAGAGTTCACAGTGGGAAACAGACGGGGGGGGGGGTACGCTGGGCTCTCTCCTCAATATGCCCACTAGCAGGCAGGCTGAGAAAAGGCCGATCTGCTTGGAGATACAGGTGCCAAGTCTGCATCCTCTCAGCTGCCCCATCACATGCATGACTTCGCCTTCAGAGGATGCAGACCCTCAACATGCCAGTGAAGGCTCTGCGGGCACTCCTAGATGTGGCTGGCGCAGAGAGCAAAACACCAGATAAGTAGAGTCCTCCATTCTAGCAGCAAGCCCCAAGCGGAGAGATCGGCAGTGCCTCCCATTTCAATTCTTAGTTAAGATCTAGGAGACCACAGTGGTTCCCAGACAAATGGAACAAGGCTCAAACTTAAGTACTCAGAAGCCAATTCTTAGATAAAGCTGATCCACAGCACTGGGAGATACACAGAAATGCAGCCCTGTATGCACAGGACCGCAGCCCTGGCCTACGACCTGACAGAACCCAAAGATGCCAAGCCCAGGGAACTCTGCTTTTCTTAGTGGGTGGCCCTGAGCTGGTAAAAGGCTAATGCAGTTTAACTGCAATGGACAAGTTTCCCTGATAGGCTGCAGGGAAATAAAAACGCTCTTGTGGGATTATATTTGTGTTTCCATTCCATTTAGGGACACATTTCCTGTTGTTTCAGCACCACAGATGAAATTCATGTCCCCAAACGGATCCACCTGGTTTACTATTCAAACAGACTCCGCCCCACTGCCTCCTGGGATGCAGACAGCAGACTTCGGCTAGTATGTATCTGTTCTCAAGCCCTGCACTGATCACCTCTCCAGATTCAGGCTCTCAAGTCCACAACCCACTGGCTATACCTGTTCTGTCTTAAATATCCATCTATCACAACTCTCACATGGAAGAGATTCAGTCAAGCTCCCTGCCACTTTTCGGAGGGAAGAGGTGAAAGAATGGATTCAGGCTGGATCTAAGTAGCAGCTGCTGCAGTGGAGAATGGCTGGCCTTTCAGCAAAGCAGCACTAGGTCTGCATCAGGTGGAATTAACAGGGCAATTGAGCGGCACCATGAGAAAGGCTAGATGCTTCTGGACTAGAGCGAAGGGCTAGTCCCAAGTTACCTATGGCTCAAAGATTCAAGGGAGGGTTTGGTAGAGGGCACCACTAGCTAGGCCAGGGGCCTAGCCCAGCCATGTTGCCAGCAGGCCTGCCTGCAAGCTAAAAGAAGACTAACGGAATTAGAATGCAGTTTATTTAAAAACATTTTCACAATCCCAACAAAGGTTAAAATAGTGCACAGGCAAGTTATCTTACAGTATGAATTGTAAACGTAAGCTTTCGTACTAAAAAATTTACAAATAAATGAAGCTCAGTAGCCTAGAAGTGTGGCTGAACAAAAAAAAAAAAATCATCATATTTGTAAATTTTGCAGCTGGATCTCAGAAGCTCCTTAATTAAATGAACCAGCCAAGGCCTGCACAGTCTGCTTAACAACCTCTCTATCAAAGAACTCCACAGGCCCAGGCCAATTATTAGTTCTCCAAGCCTGGCCCTCCGCAGAGGGGCAGCACCCAGAATCTCATGCGGGGTCATGAGATTACTGTGGTTTTTCATGGAGGCTGTTCTTCTGCCTCACCTTAGTCAATCAGGCAGCAAGCTAAATCTGACAACCCTTATACTAGTAAGGTTTGGCTAAGCTTGCTTAGGAATGCATGAAAAGGTTTGGAAGAGCATTTTCTTTCACCGTGGCCGTGGGCTAGAAGACCCTTTAACCACCCTTGTAATACGCATCCAGTGCATCAGAGTTAAAGTACACCACGGTGACCGTGATGTCATCCCTGTACAGCCTTGCCAAGTCCTCGGGCAGCGTCAGCATGGCATTCAGCCGCTCGGCCTCCATCTCCCCGTACTCATTGCTCCCAAGAGCGTGCCTGATCAGATGTGTGGCAGCATTGTGGTCGGTGATGGGCAACCCGCGGGCTTTCCTCTGTAGCAGCAGGCTCTGCATGAGCCCCAGGTTGGTGCGTCCCTGGGCCAGGTCGGACTTGTTGTGCCCACCCACCTCAGCCAGGTGCCCCACCACGAGCCTCACCACATCCTCGTTGCTCAACATGTCCCAAAGGCCATCAGAGGCCAGCACCAGGAACTTATCCTGGGGCCTCAGCTTGTGGTAGGTGACCTCGGGCCGGGCTGTCAGGTAAGGGGGAGTGTAATAGTGGAGGGGCTTGAGCTGGTAGATGTTGAGGGCCTCCGTGTCAAAGCCCCTGTCCAGGACGCTGCGCTGCAGCTCCTGGCTCCACTTGAACTGAACATCTCCGAAGGCTCTGCAGGGCATCAGGACGCCCAGCAGCCTGTCCTCCATGACGATGGTCCTGTCTTCTGATGCCGGGTGCTCCTTCTTCAGCCGGGACAACTCGGCCGGGTTCCAGGCATTGTGATCACAGCTAAGGGGCACACAAGACCACAGGCCATTGTCCTCCTGCACACCCAGGACGGCCCGGCAGTCGCCAGCGTTTGCCACATGCAGGTGTATCCCATCGATGTGAGCCATGCACGCCGTTGCTCCAGAGAAGGCCACCTGCAGCGACAAGTTCATGGCCATCTCGTCTTCCAGGGGAGCCTGGACTTCCAGCGAGATGTCAGAATCTAGTCTCTGGAAGGAGTGTACCAAGGCCTCCTCTGTGCTCAGGCCCATCCCCATGTGCAGGTCGAGCAGCTCCTGCCAATAGACCCGCAGGTGGTCTAGATGCACTGATGTGACATCCTCGTAGATGCTCTGCCCTGGGTGCTTGAGCCACTGCAGGATGGGCAGCAGGGGCTTCATGTTTTCCACAGCCTCCTCCATCTGCTCCAGGGTCTGCTGGGACATCAGGGACACCGCCACATAATAGAAGAGCCTCTCGCTCACGGCTTGCGCACATGCGTGACCCCCATGTCCATCGAAGATGCCAAACATCAGGCCACTGGTCTGCAAGCAGGAGGCCACGCCCCGCCGGTCCTCGACGGGGGAATTGGCGGCCAGCTGGTTGCTCTCAAACCGCAGCACCGGATTTGGGGCTCCACCGGGGAGGGAAAGAGGCTGATACACCAGCTCGCCGGCACGAAGCACCTCATTGACCTGCGCAGGGCTGAGCTGCAGGTTGAAATCTTCCTCTGTTGATATATGTCTGCAGGCTTTTGGCAGTGCCAAACCACCCCTCAGGACTTCATCTCTTAGGGCGGGTGGTCCCTGCAAGAAGGGCTTCCATTTTGATGGACTTCTGGACAAGACATATCTGGAGTACAAACGCCTGCCCCTTTGCAGCGCGGCTATGCTGTATCTCGCAGAGGTTAACATCCAGTAGGACACGGAACTTGACATTCTGAGATTCGACCCACAAATGCAGTCCTTCAGCCCAAATGAGACTATTTACACCTGAGAATTAAAAGAAAGTCTAAGAAAAATTTGAACTCAATTGCCTAGAGGCTGACTTGGGAAACATTTTCTCCTGCCAACAGATCAGGAATGATCTGAGGCCAGCTGGGGTCGGCCGTCACTCTGTGGGGATAGGTACTAAGAATGCGTGCAGCGCTGACACTGGGTACTTGTACACACAGAGCCAGGGATCACATGACCAAGGGGTCTGCACACAAGATCTGTTATCGACAGAAACAGCCCTCGATGGCAGCCGGCTATAAACAGCTGACTACGCTCCAAGACTAACACCACCTTCCACCTCCCCTGTCCATCACATTCCAGAACATTTGGAAAGCGGGTTTTTAGCCGATCTGCCTTCCTGGAACCCCACCCTCCACACACACATACCTTTTCCTCTCCTTTCCAAATTCTTGCTCTGACCAGAACCTAGCTCCCATATTCACACCCTCTCCAGCTGGCGGTATTTGTCTCAATCTCCGCCTTCCCCAGTACTCCATAAGCTCTGTTAATCCAGGAATGTGGCTGCCAGGGCCCAGCCCTCCACCTGGCACACAACATGTCCTCAGACACTGGCCTAGGACAGAATTTTCAGAGGCTCAATTACTCGGGAGATGTGGTATTCGCTATCCTGGCGCGGACAGACCCATACTTGTCTGATGGGATGGGAACATCAGGGCAGTGCATTGAAAATGGGATCGGAAAAAAAATAAAAAAAAAAGAAAATGGGATCGGGAGATACACCCATTTCTGTGCCAAAACATCTGAAATCTCAACACATGAAGGGGTCTTCTAGAAATTCATAAAAGGAGCCAGGGTTGTTGCACAATGAGTTAAGCTGCTACCTGTCAGTCCGGCATCCCCTATGAACACAGTTCAAGCCCCAGCTACTCCACTTGCAATGCAGCTCCCTGCTAACATGCCTGGGAAAGCAGTGGAAGATGGCCCCTACTATTGACATGGAAGACCTGGATAGAGTTCCAGCTCCTGGCTTCTGCTTGGCCCAACCCCAGCCATGCAGCCACTTGGGGAGTAAACCAGTAAATGAAAGATCTATTACTATCCCTAACTATGTCTTTTAAGTGAAAAAAAAAAATCCTAAAAGTGTTTTATAAAGAAACTTTGCACCAACATAGACCCATCTTTTATTTCCACTTTTCAGTGTATTTTCTTAAAAGAAAAAAAAAATTATTTGAGTTACAGAGAGGCAGAGAGAAATCTTTCATCCATAGGCTCACTCCCCAGATGGTTCCAACGGCCAGGCATTAGCCAGGAGCCAGGAGCTTTTATCCGGGCCTTCCACGAGGGTGCAGAGGGCCAACCACTTAGGCTGTGATCCGCTGCTTTCTCAGACACATTAGTAGGTAGCTGGATCAAAGTGGAGTGTGGGGGGTGGGGGGGTCCTTGAACTAGCATCCACTTAGGATACTCACATTGTGGACGTGGCTTTGCTCATAAAACCACAGCACCAGCACCTGCAAGTACTTTCCGAAATGTTAGATCAATCCCAGCTTCATGAGATTCTATGATCTTGTGAAATACACTCCTTCTGCTCAGTTATTTTTGGTATCATTCTGTTCAGGCCCATACAACGCGTGGCTCTCCAGGTGACAGTATTTTATACTCAACATCATTCCAGCACTCCTAACTCCCTACAGCTTCTCAATCACTGGGGGCGGGGGAGACTTGGTCCCATGCTGCCCTGTAATCTCCTTCCAGTTTATATTTGATCCTATTGATTCCCCAAAGGCGGGATTAGAAGGCCAAAGGGCACAGACCCACTGCCAAAGTCATTTCCAAAAGTTTTCACATTGGCCTTTTCAGGAGAGCATAAAGGCTTCCTAGGACCTTCGCCAGCCTCCTTGGACAACAGACAAAAAAGGAAACCACACAACGACCCGATTATAACCAACTTTTCTCGCGTGACCGAGAGGAGCGTTCCCCGTGTGCGTTTAGGTTTCATTTGTGAATTCTGACGTACCCTGAAGCCTGAGCACCTGGAAGGCCCCACCCTGTCCTACGAAGCCCACCCGCGCAGGGAGCGGGAGGACAGCCGCTGCGGGTGACGGGGTGCAGGGGCCTTTGCCCAGGAGGCCAGCAGGAAGCCGGACCCGGCGTCGCGCCACTCCCTCACCCCCTCCACAAGCCGCAGGTTCCGTGGCCACCGCCGTGGCACTTCTCCCGGCCGCAGCTCGCTCCATCCCCGACCTCGGCCGGAACGGTGTCCCTGAGCCCCCAAACCCCAACCCAGCTCTGCAAAGAGCGGGTGCCGGGCTCCCAGGGGCCCAAGGCAGCCGGTGCCGCTGCCCAGGTCCGCGCATCCACGTGGCACGCGTGCACGCCCAGGGTGGCCGTGACCGCAGCCCCCCATCCCGGGCCCGCCCCCTCGCCTCACCTCACCTCACTTGGACTCAGTTCTCCGCCCCATCGCCTGAGCCAGTGTCGCCTGGTCGGGAAGGGCCAGGAGCGGGAGAGGCCGGGCGGAGGCGGCGGTGCCCACACCCCTCCTCGGTCTCCTAACTCACCTCGGACTCTCGGCCTCCCCGCGCCCGCTGGTGCCGCCGCCGGCCGGCCGGTCCCGTGATTTTCGGGAGCACGCAGGGTGCTGCGACGGCCGCCACCGCCCCTCGGGTCTCGCCACTCGGGTCTCACTGCCCGGGAGCGGCCCCTTAAGAAGGACCGGGCTCCGGCAGACAGGGCCCTCCCACCTTCCCTTATTGGATGGTCTGCGGAGGCGGGCCCTTGAAGGACAGCAGGATTGCCCTATGGCTGCAGAGGGCCGGAGGTTGGCAGAAAGGCTCAGCCGCGCGGGGCGGGCACCGCCCCCTCCGTCACGCCCCACCCGGATTTGGACCGACTCCGAGCGCGGGGAATCCGGCAGTCACGTGGCCTGGCACCCCGACTTCGTGACACCCCGCACCGACGGCCGCTCCGGTCACTTCCTGCCTCTTGGGTTTAACCTTGAACAACTTCCCCGCTGAGGCCCCGTGGGCGTTCATCTTGCCCTGAATTAGGATGGTTGCCAAACTTGCCCTCTCCCTGTGTCCTAAAGGCCAAGACCGGAAGCGCGGGGGTCGCCTGGGTGCCACCTTGCTTTGGGTTTGCTGCAGTCCTATCTCCTGGAGACCTCTGCACTCGCCCGCGGGCTGCCGGCTCCTCCATCCCACTGTGACCCCGACCTGAGGTCTCCGACCTGTGAGTTCCACTTGGGCCTTACTCTGCAGGGAAAGTCATCTTCTCACAGCACTGCATGACATCTGGACCTCACACGGTGAGACTCCACCTGCTTCCTCCTAACGTTTTTATTTCTCGTTTTTTAATTAGTTATTTGCATCTTATTTGAAGGGCAGACACACACACAGAGCACGTCCACTGGCTCATTAGGCCCAAGCCAGGAGGGCAGAACTCAGTGTGGGTCTCCCACATGACGGCAGGGACAGGATGAAGTATTTGAGCCTTAGATGGCAGCCCAGCCTCAAATCAGATACTCCAATACTTAGCAGGGTCTTAACTGCCATACCATATGCCCACATTATAAGAACTCTTCTTAAAAATTATATAAAGATAGCCAAACATTAAAAATACTAAAGAACAGAACTTTTTAAACATTTGTTATTATTTAAAGGCAGTGTTACAGGGGGGAGGGAACAGGAAGAGAAATTTCTTTGTGTTATTTCAGCCCCAAATTGCCTCAGCAGACAAAACTGAGCCAATCTGAAGCCAGGAGCTTCCTCCAGGTCTCCAACATGGGTGTAAGGGCCCAACAACTTGAGCCATCTTCCGCTGCTTTCCCAGACCACAAATAGAAAGTTGAACCAGAAGTGGAACAGTGGAGACTTGAACTGGTGCCCGTATGGAATGCCAGCACCACATGTGGAGGCTTAGTCTACTATGCCCCTTAACAACAGAACTTTCCTGATTGTGGAAGCTCATCTTTGGAGGTAGAGAAAAACAAGAGATCAGAAAAAGCCACGTGGAGCCCTCAGAAGCCCCTTGGGAAAGGTGACAGGGGCTTGGCGCAGGGGTGGGGTGGGTAGGTGGGGTGTGGAGGGGGAGTGGTGCAAGCCAGCCTACCTGGAGCGGGGGACAGTGCCTGCCACTTAACTCCCCTGAGAAGTACCCTGTGCGGTATTTACAGTCCCGCTAAGTGTTAGCCTTTTCCAGAAATTGTACGTCAGAATTCGCAATCTCTCTGGTTGTCCTGAACACCAAGGAGGCTGTTTCAGACCCAAACTAAAAATAACTCTAAAAGATTCTACATGTCCGGGTACAGGAGAACAGCGAAACCCAGTTAGAAATGTTGCTTGTGCTTTTGAGGTACAGATGGATGCTCCGGGGGTTCACAAGAGTTTATCTTTCGGGGTCAGAGTAGCCTGTGGGTGCTGATGGGTGCCCACCATGAGTCAGGTCGCGGGCTGGCTCCTGCAGACGCACAGATGGCTGGGCCACCGCTTGCCTAAGAAAAGTTACATCACTCATGAGGGCTGTGTGTGTGTTACCACACACCCCACTTTCAAAGTAAAAATACACCCTTGAGGATTTTGTGTGGGACTTCCATTTAAAAAGCTGTAACTGGCTCAGTCACCAGGGCTGATGAATCAGCCAGCCCAAGCCCCACCCCACCTTTAGGACACCCTAAGGTTTTCTTGTCTCAAGGTCTTACAAGAGAGATAGAGAGAGAAAAAAGAAAGAAAGGGAAAGGAAAAGGACTTCTCTTCCCTCTGAGGATAAGAAGGTTTAGCTCGATGTGGTCACTCTTTGAAATAAATACTTAAAAATATTCAACCTCATTCAAAGCTTACTGCGGGGATGGTGGGGAAAGAGGGAAGTGAAACTCTTTTATAATCTAATATACCTTTAAATTCCATCCCTCCATGATTTTTTAAAAGGATTTCTTTATTTTCATTGGAAAGGCAGATTTTACAGAGGCGAGACAGAAAGATCTTCCATCGACTAGCTCACTCCCCAAACCAGGAGTTTCTTCCAGGTCTCCCATGCAGGTGCAGGGTCCCAACGCTTTGGGCCGTCCTCGACTGCTTTCCCAGGCCACAAGCAGGGAGCTGGATGGGAAGTAGAGCAACCGGGACACAAACTGGCACTCGTATGAGATCCCGGCAGGTGCAAGGCGAGGGCTTTAACCACTAGGTTACCATACCAGGGCCTTTTCCGTGAAATTTTTTCAAGAAATGTGAATTAAAAGGAACAGTTTACTTTGGTCAATACTCTTAACACACATTAAAACATGATTTGCTATTTAAAAAATTTTTAATAGTCATTTTCTGTTTTTATTTGAAAAATATAGAGAGATCTTCTACCTACTGGCTCATTTCCCAGATGCCTGAAACCACCAGAGCTGGACCAACCTGAAACTGGGAGCCAAGAACTCGGGCCAGGCTTCCCAGATAGTGTCAGGATCCAAATCCTTAAGCCACCGTGAGCTGCCTCCCAAAGAGCAAGATGGGAAGTGGAGGAGCCAGGACTTGAACCAGGCTCTTCAGGAGAGGCCCCGAGTCAAAACTCCGGCCCCCTAGTACATGACTTAAATGCTTAACCTGGGTGAGAGGGCAGTGCCATCTTAGCAGGTGGGAGAGGGGCTTGAGGTGTGCCTCAGGCATTCTCCCCTCACTTCTTTCCACTTATCCTGAGGAAACAATGTTAGCAGTCAGTCTGGGTATCTCACTCCAGCTGACATCACTTGCATCATCAGCAAGAAAAAAAAGTCCCCCAAAATGTCCTGTGGAGTTGCTGGGATAGGGCCATGGAGCTCGTGGGGGACCAAGGCAAGGCATGCTGACCCCTTGGGGCGGGAGCCCAAGCAAAGCTTCCCATGAGCCTTCAGGAAAGCCGCCATGAGCCAGGCGGCATAGCAGCGACCTGCACGGCAGCTGGGGCACGCGTAGCACCGTGGAGGTCTTGTTCCTGGGCAGTAAGCAGGAGCTGGCCCCAGCTCAGCTATGGAGCCATAGCGTCCTTGCTCCCTGGGGCATCTAAATGAAGTCCCCTGAGAACCTTTTTGCCCCAAAGGCCTGTGCCATGGCCAGCCAAGTGGCTTCACTTCACTTCTCCTGACTCAAGCAGGTGGCTTTTCCTGACACTATCCTGTGCAAAAGTGGCCTCACACCTGAGCGCGCTCTCACACACACACACACACACACACACACACACACACACACACACACACACAGCCTACAAGGCCCCCTGCCACGGAGGTGGAATGCCTTCCAGTCCCTACAGGACAGAAAGCTCAGAGGCACCCAGAGCAAGTTCGAAACCTGGGCTAGTGATAACCATTTGGAAAGTTTTGAAAAATGCAAGTACAGCCTCAGCTCTTCTCTCAACCTGCCCCGAAGCAACAGCCTCAGTGCAAATGTTTGGCACAGAACTGGGATCCTTGTACCTGGTACCTGGAGGGCTTGCATTCGAGTCTTATTTCTGCTTTTTCAAAAATTAATCTAACAAATGTAACTTTTAATTCAGTTTCTCCATAAATTAAAAAAAAAGTATGGGCCCAGCTTGGTAGCCTAGTGGTGAAAGTCCTCACCTTGAATGTACCAGGATCCCATATGGATGCCAGTTCTAATCCCGATAGCCCCACTTCCCATCTAGCTCCCTGCTTGTAGCCTGGGAAAGCAGTGGAGGACGGCCCTGCACCCATATGGGAGACGCAGAAGATACTCCTAGCTTTGAACTAGCTGAGCTCCGGCCATTTGGGTAGTGAACTAGATGATGGAAGCTTTCTTTCTCTCTCTCTCTCTGTAACTTTCTGTTTACAACTTTAAAAAAAAAATACTTAAGTTTTACTTGAACAGCAGAGTGACAGAAAAGGAAAAAAATATAGACCTTCTACCTGCTGTAAGTGGCTGCAATGGCTAGGCCTGCTCCAACCTGGGACTCCATCCAGGTCTCCCACACACAGAGCAGGGCTTTTCCCCAAGCATATTAGTAAGGAGGTGGATCCAAAGTGGAACAGCCAGGATATGAACCAGCACCTATATGGGAGTGAATAGTAACTTAACCAGCTATGCCACAGCACCACCAGTCCCTTCCCCACCCCACTACCTTACGTTTGCTCTAGTTTCCTGCCAGTACACACCATGGGAAGCCACAAGTGATGGCTAACGTATTTGGGAACCTGCCACCCAGACTCCCGGCCTGGGCCTGGCCTAGCCCTACCTACTGTGGGCATTTTGGAGTGAACCAGTGGATGGAAGATCGCTCTTTCTCTGCCTTCTATATCTTAGTAAGAAATGAGGCAACAGCGCCAGCAGCCTTACCCGCTGTCAGGAGGCCTCAGATGGTTGTGGCGAGCTCCTAGCACACAACCCCAAACCTGGTGTCGGCCCTTCTCCAGCAGAGGAGTGTCCGGTTCTGTCTGTTACTCATGACTGACAATGATTTGACTCAGGTGTTAGAAGTGGGGAATGTTATGGGGTGCAGCCAGTGATAGCCAGCACCCATTGACAGTGGGCAAATGGAATGTGGCTGTGTCCCCTACCCTCTGTCCTGAAGGTGGGGCCTAACAGCAATGGAATGTTAATTCCATCCTCAGCCACCCCCCATTTGCCCACCTGTGACTCAGCTATCTTCTGAGAGGGGACGGTATTGCAAACCACTCCCCTC